CTTGGGTTTTTGAAGTTTACAGAGATAACCTTTTCAATGATAGTTAGAATAGACGATAGCTTTTTTTTTCTTTTCTTCTGTTTAAAAAATTCCTTTTTTATTCCTTTTTCCCCTTGCGTAGTTACTACAAGAGGAGGTGACACAATTTGGGTTTATGGTCGTGACTGCAGAGATAATCTGCAGGTTTTGATCCTGCTGGAAATCTGGAATCTTAATTCCATTCACTAGGGGAACATATTATCACCCCCATAAATCACATCTAGAGGCTTTGGCTAAAGACGGGTGAGTTGGGTCAGGGAAATTTATACTTTATATGAATTCTCAACTTGTAATGGTTCTTTATAATTAAATAAATAAATGATACCAAATTGATTGCGGGATTAAAAAAAAAAAAAAAAAATTAATTTATAATAATTTAATAAATATTTAATTTTAGCTTAATTACAAATTAAATAATAATAATAATTTTTATTTATAATTAATTCTATTATTAATATAATAAAGAAATTATTATTTTTTATTGTTACTATAAATAATAGAATTAATTACAAATAAAAATTATTATTATTATTAAGTCTTTAAACAAATTTATAATTTAACAATAATTAATAAAATAAATAAATATGTAAGAATAAAAAACTTTAATAATTTTTTATTAATATAGATTAAATTAATTAAAATATGATAAATAAATAAATTATTTAAAAATTTTATAATAAAAATTAGGTTTACAAAATAAAAAATAAAATAAAATTTCAATTTAATTTATACAGTATATTATAAAAAATTTTTATTATTTAAAAAAACTTAATATTTTATTTATAAAAAATATTTCTTTAAAGTTTTATATTAAATAGATAAATTATTTATTTATTTACTATACAGTAAAAAATATTTGTTCAAACAAATTCATATAAATAAATAAATATAAATTATAATTTCTTTAAAGTAAAAAAAAATTTTTTTAACTTTTAAATGTGTACCAAAATTTTCATGCATTTGATTGGTCAGCATCAGCCTTAAAAATTTTGCGCAAGTAGTAATCAGCTAAATTCTTTTTCTTTCAACAAAATTGAAAAAGAATGTCTCGATTCTTCAGAGGTGGCTCTGACAGCGAGACGGAGGATGAAATTATTTCATCCAACGATGAATCCGATGATATTTTGGATGAATCATCCGAAGAAGAAGAAGAAGAAGAAGAGGTCGTAAAACCGCTCGGAGGAAGATTTATAAAAAAAATGGATTCTGAGGACTCTTCGGACTCGGATGTAAAACGGGAGGTTAGATCGGCAAAAGATAAAAGGTTAGATGCACTTGGTGCTTCTGTAAAAGCCATCGAAAACGCGCAAAAAATTAATGATTGGGTTGTTATTCAAAATGGTGATCTAACATTTTTATCTGATAGAGAAAAACATTTTCATGATATGATCTATATATTATATTAACGCGTGCCGATTACCTTTGATATTTATAGAATTCGATAAATTAAATAAGATCGCGAGTAAAGGACCTGCCGGAATGAACGCGATCCCACGACTTTATATCAAAACTATTGCGTTGTTAGAGGATTTCCTGAATGAAACTTTACAAAAGGAAAAGGATTCAAAGAAAAAAATGAACGCAACACAAGCAAAAGCATTAAACTATATGAAACAGCGGATCAAGAAGAATAATCGACAGTATGAAGAAGAGATCGAAAAATGGAGATTAGTAAATATCATTTCATAATAATTCTCAAGTTTAGAATGGATGCTAATTATTTAAAACTCGTAGAATCCTGCCAGCGAAGAGAGTGAAGATAGCTCGGCTGAGGAAGTCAAACAAAAAAAGAAAAAAACTATCGTCGAATCAGATGAAGAATCACAGGACGAAGATGATAATGAAAATGACAATGACGATGGTTTCACCATAGTCAATAAGAAAGCGAAACCTTCTGTAGTTTACACCTCAGAAAACTTGTTTAGAAAATTGAGAGAAGTCTTAGAAGCCAGAGGAAAGAAGGTATGCTTGATAAATATATTGTTTTAATGGTTCATTGGTAGAATTACGAATGATAAATCAATGTTGTTTTTTATAAAAAAAAAAGAACACAGATCGGTTGGAGCAAATAAAAATTCTTCAAAAACTCTTAGAAGTTGCTTCGACACCTTATCAAGAGATTCGTGTCTTACTTGCTTTAATACCTTCCCAATTTGATTATAATCCAAGTATGAGTAATTACATGAATGTTGATATGTGGAAAAGGTTTGTATTTAATAATTATGCTCATTCATACGTGATTCTTCTAATAACATATATTATGTCATTGGTTAAATAAGCACGCTAAAGGAAATCAATCAACTCTTGATTATCCTCGAAGATAATCCAAAATATATTATTCATGAAGCTGCCGAAGAGGAATTAGAGGATAAGGAACCAGTAGTTGAAGCTGGTCAGCCACCATTTACTATACGAGGTTCAATTGTCTCTTTTGTCGATCGTTTAGATGATGAATTCACAAAATCTTTACAAAATATCGATCCACACACTACCGACTATGTGGATAGATTAAAAGATGAAACAGAGTTATATGCTACGATTGTAAGAGGTCAAATATATTTCGAAAAGAATGCTTTGAGCGAAAGCACGAGTAGGATGGTCATGAGAAGATTAGAACATTTGTATTATAAGGTAATTTTTTATGAGAAATTTTATTTCTTGCTTTCCATTACGTTTAAATGATACCTAACTCTGGATATTCGACATCTATTTATAGCCTGATCAGGTTATACAGACAGTGGAAAACACTGTTAAAACGATACTCCCACAATCTCTTGAATCTACTATAACAACATCTTCATCGGAAAACGATTCTACCGAATTGATTCATTCACTTTGTGTCTATCTTTATAAAAAGGGTGAATCTCTTCTGCGTACCCGTGCAATGCTTTGTCACATTTATCATCATGCATTGCACAACCGCTTTTATGTTGCGCGAGACATGCTTTTGATGTCGCATTTGCAAGATAATATCCATCAAAGTGATATTGGAACTCAAATTTTACACAATCGTACCATGGTACAAGTTGGTCTCTGCGCTTTCCGGGAGGGAATGGTGAAAGAAGCTCAAAGTTGTTTGCAAGAAATATGTGGTACGGGCCGTGTTAAAGAATTATTGGCACAAGTAAGCTATTTATTAATGTTTGTTTGAGATTGATGATCGATAATAATGATCATTCATCCTAAATAGGGATTATTGTTGCAAAAATATATGCAACTTCCTCCGGAACAGGAAAAATTGGATCGCCAGCGCCAATTACCATTCCATATGCACATCAACTTGGAATTATTAGAATGTGCATATTTGACTTGTTCAATGCTTTTGGAAATTCCTAGTATGGCTGCTGCTGGGTCTAATCTCGAAGCTCGCAAAAAAGTAATCTCTAAGCCATTTAGGAGAATGTTGGACTATAATGAAAGACAGGTCTTCAGCGGTGAGTGATAATATTCATGGTACATCATATTGCCGAATTGATCTTTTCTTTTCAAGTACTCATATTTTTTTCGAATGTATTCAAAGGCCCGCCGGAGAACACTAGGGATCACATCATGGGTGCGGCCAAGGCACTTGCCGCTGGTGAATGGCAAAAATGTCAAGAACTTATTAATGCCATTAAAATTTGGGATCTGATGCCTGAAACTCAAAAGATAAAAGACATGTTAAACCGAAAGATCCAGGAAGAAGGCCTCCGCACTTACCTCTTCACATATTCGACTTATTACGTCACACTAGGACTTAACCAACTGGCAACAATGTTTTCTTTGCCTATCAACACAGTTACTGCTATCATTTCAAAAATGATTTGGAATGAGGAGTTGGCCGCATCATTAGATCAGGTTAATAATGTAGTCGTGTTACATCGCGTAGAACTTACAAAAGTTCAACAGTTGACTCTGATGTTTGCTGAGAAAGCAGTATCATTTGTGGAAGCTAATGAAAGGACTTTAGAACAGAAACAAACGACCGGTCAGAACCAGAGAGATCAACAAAGACAAAAAGGTTTGCAAAGAATTTCATTATACATAACATTTTTAATTTATTTTTAACTGAAATTTCAATTTTAGGACAAGCAAATCAACAGCATCAAAACGTCGAGAAACGACCCGCCTATCAAAAAAGAGATGGTAATCAACAAAGGTCTCGAAATAATTTCAATAATGTTTTAGGGAACAGTGTAAGGGGAAGGACTCAGCAGAATCGTTATCGGTCCTAGGGGAAGTTAACTTAACAAAACTGTGGGAATTGTAATTATTTTAGCCATAAAATCCATCTTTATTCTTTGGCTTCTAAAAATGATCGGTCACACATATTAAGACCATCAACAGATTCAATATTCACAACATAATCATGTACGAAATTCTTGTTGGCCGAGAGAATATTCATCCGCAGTATTGATAACTCATTTTTTCGTGAACTTGTGAATTGAAAAAGAAATGTTAAAATTGAAATTTTGCTAAATTAATCTAATTTTAATAATAAATCATTGTTAATGAAACCGAGGCTGTTTGAATGCAGGATTCAATTGATCGATCTTGCAATGTTTACTCAATGATATAATAGAGTGGCGTTCCATTATTTCCAAAAATTTGATCGACTTTTAAAGTTGTCAAGGGGCTTGTCATATGATCTCCAATCATTGGATACTATAATGTAAGTGGGCGTGATGCAGTAAAAGTCTGTTCTGTATTTATGGTTTCGCGATGATATTTGAACTGGCGCAAAGTCAATGGGGTCTGTGTCATATATTATGATGTAATGTTTAGATATTTGGATATTTTGACGAAGGCGATATACATTCACCAATCTGAAGATATGTATGGCGCATTATTGAATGGTTTCTGGCCGTGTAGATAATAAATAAAAATTACTTTAATTAAATGTGTCTTTTCCTTTAATACTTTATCGTCTATCCACACTCAAGTCTTAATCGGTGAACGGTTACAAATAGTAAATAATTCTCATACATTGTATGTGCCATTATTTTTATTTTATAAATATAAATATAAATTTAAAACTTGGAGTTAATGTTTATATTAACTTCATAGCCATTTATAATCTTTAAAAACACGATAATATTTGAAATAATTAGACACCACATATGTGACCTATCTTACTGAACTTTGATTTTTTTAACAAAAAACCAACACCCATCAATTATATCTATATACTGTATATACTGTATATGGTAAATTACATCGATTTGCGCATAATATTTTTTTTTAAAACGTTAATAGAATCAACCAATAGTAGCAAAGTTTGTCTTAAACCATCAATTTTAATTAATTACCTTTAGCAAGTTTTAAACATTGACATTTAATTTTTGAATAACTATTTGATATTCGATTAAGATTTATTGTATATACTGTACATATGCTTGTTCTTTAAAAAAAAAGAAAAAGGAAAAAATTATTATATAATACATGCAATAAGTAAGATGCAATTTTATTTTTAATAAAAAAATGTTGTATAATTATTCATTTCATCATGAAAAAAAAACCAATTATTTGTTTGGAAAAAAATGAATTATATGATATATTAGTATTTAGCATCATATTTGCAATCTTATGACTTCAACATTAATTAACCCAAATGATAATATAAGTGTGATGTAATTGAAATGGTATTATTACTTATATATAAAAAAAAAAAAATCTTTTTTAACATAAAATAATTAATAAACAAATCAAAATAAATATATTTGTTTTATCTTGTTTTTTACCAATTGCAAAATAATCTTCCTTATCATGAAGTATTAAAAACCATTGTGAATAATGTTATCCAAAGTTAACATACTGTATCATATCAATTCATAAGTATCAATGGATTTTTAAAAATCCTATATTTAATATTTAAAAATTACATTGTAAATCATTTTATAGAAATATGATATTTTAATAATCAAATACCATGCATAAGATATCTATCAAATGTACAGCATTTACGTTATCTTAGTAACAATTTAATGTTAATTAGCTCATTAATTATAATTTTCTCATTCATCATTTTGCAAACAATTAAATCAAATATAATAATTATTATTATTATTTTGAAAGCAGTTTCGTGTTATCTAAATGGATCTAGTATTCTGCAAACCATGTTGCAAGCAACTAAATGCTATACACTTGATCAATTGATTGCATGTACAAAAATCTCAATCATTCAACCGTGTTGATTATGCATTGTATGTATAAAAAATTTAAGCTTTTTTTTTTCAAAATAATGTTCCATTCTTTTGTTTTTCTATTGACGGGGTTGTTTTTTCTCGCATTAAAACCTAATGATGTTGGTTAGCACTAATGTACATAATGTATATGTATACATGTTCTAATGAAAGCACAAAAGAAAGTCAATCGAAGGCCCCTCAAAATTTCACGCATGTTTGTATGAAACCGATGAACACGGACGTCCGCTCTAAAATTCAGAAACAGAATGATCAAAAGAAAGTAAGGATGAGATCTTGACGGACGCTAAAAAAAAGAATTTTCGGAATAGAATGCACGAAAAGACCGACGCTGATAAAAATAAATTTATCTGTCGACTGATCAGTTTGATCTCTCTTGTTCTTACTTATCGCATACAGGCCATAAGCGTGTTTATTCATTAATCCCACCGCGTACTTCTAATGACACATGAAAAAGAGTCTGGTAAGGGGAACAAGTAGTAGAATCGTTAGAGATTGATAAAACTGATGCACAAGGTAATAGTATGTTTTTTAAACAAATAAAATAGTCGGTCATACATGTATCTACGTATACCGACATTACTTTAATCCTTCTGTTTCTATCGTCACAATTATTTTTTAAATATATGCTAGTTACTTTATAGGAATCTCAAAAAAAAAAAAACGAAATAAGAAATTCAACATTTATATGGAAAAAAATTTTTTTTTAATTACAATTTTTTTTTTATACGCAAACATTCAAGAATTGATAATTAATATTTTGTCGTGCAATTAGTCTAAACAATAACAATTATGTTGAGGGGGATGAAAAGAATTCAACTCTATCTACAGTATAGAATAGAGTTGTTTTTTTTAATGTGCTTATGTGTGCTTAATGATGAACTTATATGAATTTGTAATTGCACACTAATTTGTCGTGATAATGCTAATAAATAAAAAAATAAAAATAAAAATAATGCCAATTATAAAAAAAAAAAAAAAAATTTTTTTTTTGTTTGCTTGTTTTGAATATAATATAAAAAAAATTTTTTTAAAATACGGTTGTATACTGTGACACACCAAAAAATCAATTCAACTCCGTTTTATCTAAAAAAAATTTTTTATAATGCATTCATATTTTGTTGCATTATACATTCTTTTTTTTTTTTTACGAGTACATTACACCTGCACTAGGACATATATGGCTATCATGTATTCCTATTAGCTGGACGAACTCATAAAAGGCAGTAGTTTCGCTTCCAGTCACAAGAAAAAATTTTTTCGTGTCTGTGATCTCTATCATTGAAGAAATCCTCAAAAGGGGTTAAATTTTTATTTTTATTTTATTTACCGACCCTCTTTTTTTTATAGTTGAACTTAATTGATTATACTTGTAGTAACTATACTATTATATACACTCTCTGATTTTCAAATCAATTTTAAATTTTAGTACTTCGTACTCGCATATAATCATCAAGTATATAAACATACCTCCTCAGCTTTCGTCTGCCTTTGTCTCGAGACAAACACAAAAATTTTATTCTCGTACCAAATAATTATTTTTCTTTTTTTTTTCTTTTTCTTTTTTATTTTAGTCGACCATCTGCTGCTTTAACCTCTTTCTAATTTAATAATTTTTTTTTTAATACTCTTTTATACTTTACTTTTATTTTCTAATTAGTCTTTTCTTTTTCTTCAACCCCTTTGCCATTGTTAAGACTGAGGTAGCTAGCATACCAACAGAACTAACAACAATAAGAAATTTCTATAAAAATGACATCACAAAGAAGCACTTCGACAAAGACCTCAGCTCCAGCCATGACCTCATCAGGCAAAGCTTCAGAAATGACGGCACTTCAATTCATTTCACAGGACGAACTTGTCCGACTCTTCGAAGAGCAAAAAGGGGCCCAATATTTTATTCCCGATGGGTTTGAGCCAGTTCTCATTCCTCGGGGTTTTAACTTACAACCAATAGAAGCCCTCAAAGGCCTGCAACAGCAAATTATCCTGCAGAAACAGCAGCAAAAGATTCAACAAACGACGGCACAGGGTGTAGCCAACGTGAACTCAACGGCATCTACTCTTACAAAGAATAACAACAACAACAATAATAATTCTACATCCGACGTGAGATTTCCACAACTCGTGCTAGCTCGAGCTGCTGCAGCGCAAACTCCGCGGGGCGGAGTGGTTGCAAAGACCAAGCAAAAGAAGCCTCCCAGACCACCAAATGCCTTTATCCTTTACAGGCGATCAAAGCAATCGGATATTGTCGCGGCCAATGAAGGAATCACAAACAACGAGGTATCTAAGCAGATAGGAGAAATGTGGCACCGAGAAAGTGCCGCCGAGAAGCAGAAGTTCCAACTTCTTGCCGATCAAGCAAAAATTGAACATTTGAAAAAGTTCCCCGACTACAAATATCGCCCACGAAGACCACATGAAAAACGAAGACGAACAAAGAGACCAAGCGCCAGCTTAGGAAACAGCAATGCGATGTCCAGCGCAGTCGCCTCATCCGCTGCGAACCCAACCAAAGGTACCAGCCCCATGATGAACGGCGGTAACTTTGCGGATATTAACGAATCCTTGCTTCGACGGTCTTCCATTGACACCACATGTTCGTTCGATGACTCCCGAAGAAATTCCCTTTTGTCAACCGGCGATGCAAATGAGTTCAACGACTTCGAAGAAAGTGAGCTCAATGACCTCGAAGAGTTGGGATATGATCAAATGAACATTTTTGATACTTCTGTTTCTCCAATGGTCGATGAAACCACTTTTCAATACCACCAGATTTCTCCCGAGGAATATAATAATACTTGTGTCGAGACCGCCGCCCTAAATATTTTAACGATGGAGGGTGTTTCACCTAGTTCCGAAACCGAAGTTAACCCATTTGAGTATTACGACCTGTATTCAGGTGGAAACTACGACTACCTGAGTTCTCTAAATTCTTTTGGTCTAAACCCGTACGTCTCTTTGCCTGATGGTGGAATGATTAACTTGCCCGAAATGGATTCATAGTTATTTTTTTCGGTGTGTACTCACATTTTAATTGCAAAAAAAACGCAAGCGCGAGACATTTTTTCCTTTACTAACTTTAACGTTTCTTTCTCACTAGCATTTGACAATGTTTTATATTGTCATCGTCACTTTATTTTATTTTTTTGGATCCATTGCGATTTTTTCCAACCAAAGGGGTACCCAATCAAGGTAGTTTTAATTTACTCGTTTACGGACATTTTTCTGTTTCAAGAAAAGAAAACGATGCAACCCTTTTCATCAAAATGTAAACTAAAAAATATTTCTTGGGAGGGATTGGTTTATTATTTTTTTTTTTATTATTTTTATTACATATAACCATATCCTTGACATTATTATAATCTTTTTTTTTTGAATTGGGGTGCATGGGAGTTAATTTTTTGTTCAAAAAAAAAAAAAAAAAAAAAAAAAAAAATGCCTACAATTTGTATTCGAAAATGTTCGTATCCGCCGTAAGTTTTTTATTTATCCTCTATATTATCCTTACTTTTATCCTTATTACTCTTCCTCGTTTCTCGCTGTCTTTAACCAGAGAGTGCAGAAATAAAAAAAATTCGATGTAAATATGTAAAAATTCAAAACTTTTTTTTTTTTTGAACTAGTAGTGTAAAACATACTCTCCAACAAATTCCTGTAACATTATTTTTTTTTTCAAAAATAAAAAAATTCGTCCTTTTCTGTTAAATGATTACTGCTGTCCACGTAACCATATCGATGGTATATTGCGCGCGATTGTCACTAAAAAAAAGGTCACTTATCGTCACTGACCATTTCATGCACATGCACCGTTTATTACGTACGTACGTACGTACGTACGTATGTATGTATGTATGTATGTATGTATGCATCTCTGGAACTCGAAAAGTTTGAATTCCTATCCACCTCCTTCCCTTATCAATTGCATGATGCATACATATTTGTTAAGTAAACCATGGTGTATGCGTTATACACCGTATATTAAACGCAGTCATGAAATCGCATCATCTTGCTTGTTGGTTTAACCAAGCTCCCAACACTTTTACATGACCCCGCGTCACATTCGAGATGTTGCGAACAAAAGCCACAAAAGATTACCCGAACGATATGATAAACAAACATTTGGATTATGCGTCTGTGTACTGTACATACATACATACCCATCCTCGTTACGTTTGTTTGTATACATGTACATGTTAAATTACGATAAAATATAACCTGGAATTAATCTCGTAGGACCTGCTGTGCTTCCTTCTTCCTCCCCCCCCGACTCTCCTTAGTCGAGTTGCATGATGTGGATGTGTGATTGAGGAAGTTTGCATCGTAATTATCGTTTTACGAGCAAAATGAGTTGCCTAGGTGTACTCGGTCACACAATGCAAAGCAATTTTTTACTGCCCTCGTGGTTATCATCACGTCTCGCGCGAGCCGCACCCTCGAGCAATCGATTGAGAGTTTTGACAGGATGTTATGCTATGTCACACCCGGTAACACATCTTTCTCCTATCGAAACGGACATGTTCCCCTAAACTTTAAATATAGGTAGGCATGCAAATTATAAAGAAACTATTTTTGTACTTATGAGATAGAACCTCGGTGCCTCCCCGTGGGACGCACAGGTTCTACCGAATGGTCAATTGCGCACCATTAAAAAAAAGCAGAGCGCCATTGCACCTCATTGCTGCGTAACATCGGATCGTTTTAGATTCGGCACGATTTGTATTAGAAAAGGTGAACACCCCATAGGAGGTGATACCTAAAAAACATTAGAACAACCATTTTAGGCAAGAAATATCTAACGGTGTTCCCACTAGGTAATTAGTTCATGTCACACAAAAGGCGCACCTCCAATGACGACCATTTGACGGATCAATGTGACATCCGGTCCTCTTGCATCATCTTGCTCCCTTAACCTCGTCTGGCCCATTTATCATCGCTATTCATTGATCAATGACATCTGTTGCATCTAGATATGATGTTAGACTTGCTTGATGTGGAATGCGCAAAACTTGATCGCTTTGAACGCAATTTTGGGTCGATCACCGATGACCAGTCAGATATGCGCAAATATTTATTCTTTCGAAATCATACGATACACAATGAGGACCATGAGTGTGCAACAAAGAACCGAACGTTAATCAAAAGGATCAAGAAAACGGACGGAGGCTTCTATTCATGATCGATGTTCTCCGAGTATACGGGAAATCGGTGATTCGACGCGTTTCGAAGTCGCGCGTTCGGGAAAGGAAGCTCATAAATGACAATGCTTCGAATCAGATATGCAGCAGGATAATGCAAGATGAATGAGAAAGCGACAATGAAATTAAGTGCACAATTGTAACCCTTGCATATGCATAGGTTGAATGTGATGAAAGAAGCATCCTCACTTTATTAGTAGATGCACCGTGTTTCTGAGATTTAGAGTCCACATGCATCAGCGAAAAACCTGTTTTTATCCGGTTTCAAACTGACTTAAGTTCATTCACGAGCTCCGCCTTCCTTAAGCATACCGAATGTTCTTAGTAAACAAGTGGAAAACGTGTAAACACATTCAACGCAGGGTAGAACGTCATTGGTTTTCTTTTTTTATTGGTGATGTCAACACACTTCCGAGCCTTAAGTGCAAAGACTTGTACCATTTTGGTTTGGTCTAAATTGACGACAATGCTTTTTCCGAAAGAAGTCTTTTTTTTTTTGGTTACCTCCGAGAATGAAGAGCCGATCTCACGAAGAATGTGGTTATGAAGGATGAATGCGTGTGCGAATGTAAGGGACCCTTCTGAAACCGAGCTTTCATATTAAGTTGGGTAAATTGACCGCGTGCTAGATGTGGATAGAATTGATGATTTGATCGATCTCACGATTTGGAATCGTAAGCTTGGACCCTATGTCATATTACACCGCAGCAAAGTTTGATACCTTGTGGTGGCGAATGAAATATAAAATCTTTTTGTGTACCATAATTGTAATTTCAAACGCGAATGATTAGCTTTTTTTAATATATGCATGCATACACATAAGAATTAATTTATTTATATATGGAATTTTCGAAATACTCGGCAGCGGCGTAGTTTTCCGTCACCTTTTTATTCTTTTAAGGAGATCAATCCTGACTTTGTGGTGGAGAGTCCATAGTTTCGCATTGCAAATTATCACCGTCAGTTTTTCTCCCATTTTTCTATCTTCGGATACTTGCTCCGAGATTCCTCTACATCAGTTTAATCATGTTCTCAGCGCATTAATGTAATGATCAGATGTCAAACTCTCGTCGGTATAGTATTAAGCATGACAACGGTACCATGGCGAACAAAAAGGTAAAAAAACATTAAATGCACTCACAACATTAACAATATGTGTAAATCCAGATTATTTGATGATGATGAGCCCTGTGCACAAATATGACACACAAAACCCTGCTGCTTTTTTTTTTTTTCTCTTTCAAAATTTACTTTATGTGCTTGTACCTCTATGCACAGTACATACATCCGTGTGAATAAAACATTATATATGGATACATGACATCCCTCATTTAACTTTTGTAAAGGAAATTGAATTATAATATCATATAATATAATATACAGTATACGTAGACGTAAAGGTATTTATTTTTAAATGTGCAATCGCAATTACCCAATAAGCCAAGTGATCGGTGATGGGAATACATGGCATATAGCGTAAATCAAAGATACCGTTCTTAAACAGTAAATAACCCTTCTCCTTCTTTAATATTTCTAATAAAAGGTTGTTTTTAGGAACGGCGTAACCAGCAATGGTGGCATTCACCCAAATTCGAAAAGTGACTGGAAAATTATCTACACGCGAATTAAAGTCTTTTGCGTGTACAACAAATACTGTCTCTTGACCACATCACACCTTTTCAATATCCGTTTCATCGCAATATATTATCTCGCAGAAAAAGAAACACAACTTGTTTGTTTCAGGAATTCAAACTGTACATGAATAACTACCGCTGGACAATAGTTGACCGGTGAAATTGTTCCGCTATCGAGGTAAACGTCAAACTCGGGATTTACAAAAAGGATCTTGGATGAGGTTAGCCGAATACGTGGGAATCATTTGGATTGCAATGTGAGGTTTATTTGGAGGCCAAGAGAATGCAGGAGAAGTTGAGAAAACAAGATTTGCGGGAATCATACCGATGTGGCAATTTCATTATGCTTATGAGAGTTGAATCAAAAGCACTCCGCTGAATCGTCATCGAGTATGCGTTATGCGCAGTGATTTAATAAAGATAATGATGGATTGTCTAAAGTATGATGAATTTAAGGGTTAGACAGAAGAAAAAATATTGAATGCGTAAAAAAAACATTGAAGCCATATTACCGTCTCTCGAAAAAACTTAAGTCCGATACAAGAAATCATGTGCCGGCTATGGTGTAATGTGTTGCTTACTCGCCTTGAACACGACTGCATATTACCCTACGCGTGTTTGCTTACTCTGCCTAAATATTTCTCCAATCAGAAATTAAAGCGCAACAACAGAGAACCAATATTCGACACAATGGGTTTAAAGGCGATGACATATTCTAGAAATCGAATGTTTTTTTTTTTTTTGATCTATTTGTACATGTGCCGGTGGAAACTCAACAAAACATATGGCAGCATGAGTTTTGCATAAAAAAAGAAACAATGCTCAGACTTCTTAGCTAACCATGAAAACGGAAGAGGCAACGAGAAGATTCGAAAAATCGGCAAGAAACGATGATCATGATCGACGTGGCAGATTATAATAAATCAATGGAATAATTACTCTTAATAAAAAAATCAATTTTTACAATAAACTTACTCGTTTTGTTATTGATCACTATTTAATATTTTTTAAAAAAAATAAATCTCATTACAAAATAATTTTTATCATTTATTGATTTTGGGTATAAATTATTATTTGATATAAATTTTTTCAAAATTATTTTTTAATTTGAATATATTTCATCCAATACAACAATTAAACAAGTATATAATTTTCATTGAATTTTTTTTTATCATATTGAACATATGGAACCACTACAATCATATACATTTATCTGAATATTTAAATACTTTTAAATAAATATCTTTATTTATCCAATCTTGAAAATACAATTATTTTAATTTAATATATACAATGTTACTAAAGTTTTAATAATCTTTTTGTAACATCAAATATTTGTTATTTTTTTAAATCAATAATATATATTTGATATTTAAAAAATGTATCAAAATTTATAAGAATTTATTGATTTATTAGTATTTTACAAATAAAAAAAATCATGTTTATTTGATAAATTTTTAATAAGTTAACAAAAATAATAATTATTAAATATTATTACTCTATATACTGTATATACTGTATATATATATACTATATATAATACAAATATACACAAAAAGAAACAATAAAATAATAATACTAATAAAATCATTCTCTATTTTAAATATTATTAAAAAAAATTATTTCAGTAAATAAAATTTAAATTCTTATAATTATTCATTGTTTATCATTTGTAATTAGTTATATTATTTAATTTTTAATAAAATAAAAAATATTTAAAAACACTTTTAGAAAAGTATTTCTCAAAACTTTATGTTTAAAGACTTTAATCAAAAGAAATATTAGTTTTTTATTATTGATTTTTTTTTTAAATTATTTAATTAGTTTGTTATTAATAATCAATCAATTCATAATCTTAACTAATTATCTTTTAAAAAATTTAATATAATCAAAATTTAAAATTAAACTAAAGTAAAAAAATTAAAAAATCAAAAATCAAAAAAATAATAACTTTTTTTTTTTTAATTTCTTTGGATTTTAAATTTCTTAAAAGTCTTTAAAAAATATTTTTATTATAGATTTAATTATATAAAAATAAATTAATAAAGTATTTTTTTTAAAAAAAAGTAACATAATAATTATTATTTATTTTGCTAATTTAATAATTAAGAAAAAATATAAGCTTTATTATTATAAAGATATAAAATTCTTTGAAAATATTTGTTTTTTGAATTGATAAAAGAATTGACAAAAAATTTTATTTATTAAATTATTAATGATAATCTATAAATCTTTTATATAATTAATTAATCACTATTATAATTAAGAATATTAATTATTTTTATAAAAAAAACAATAAATTTTAGATAAATCCAATAGCTTATTTTTTTATAAATAATTTTTATGAAAATATAATTTTATATAAATTTTATTAATTACTCTTAAATAAAACTCTATTTTAAAAATCATAATTTTATTAAAATTAATAAAATTAAATTAATTTTGAAACTATAGTCTTAATATTATTTTTAAAAACTTTTTAAACTTAAAAAGTTTTTTTTTTAATTTTAATAAAAAATTATTGTAAATTTTATTTAATTAATAGCTTATAATAAAAAAATTTTTTTATATAACTAGTAATTTTTTAAAATTAATTAATATTTTTAATTACAATATATTATATAAATAATTAAATTATAATATATTTATTTTAAAAGATTTTAAAAATTAAATCAATAGCAAAATAATTTATATTGTATATATTTAATAAAGTATATAATATATTATAAATTATAATATTAATTATTAGTTTAATTTATTTTTAAATATCTTATTTATATACTTTTTTTATATTTTGTGTAACATTATTAAATAAATTGTATTAACTAAAAAAAAATATAATTATATATAAATTAGTGACACAAATAAGTAATACAAGTAATATCAATAAAAATATAATAACAAGAATATTATAATTCAAATAGTATTTTTCTGGAACTTTTAAAAATAAAATTATTGATAAATATATAATAATAAAAAACAAAATTAAAAATAAAAGTTACTAACCTAATTAAAAAAGCAATGTCAAAACAAAAGTAAATCCAACAGCATAAATACAAATATTTTTTCTTAATAAAAAAACTAAACTAAAAAAG